ACCTGAGGCCGCTATTAAAGTTTCCACCTCTGCCTCTTTTCTCTATTCTTCCCAGGTCCACCTGCACCTGGGTTCCTACAAGTCTTCACACCACCTTCCCTCCCATCCCCTTTCTTCTGGTGTCTCTTGTCTTGGCTACCACGACGAAATTCATCCACCCTCCCAGGTCTCTGCGCCGGCGTCAGGACATGATCAGAGTCTGATGCCACCGCTCTCTTCCTCGTGAGAACCTCGTCCTCCATGTTATCGTCTAAGGAGGCCGCACGATGGACCTCAACCTCCACTGTGCTTCGTCCCTCGAAACACGGCGACGGTTCTCCCACACCGCTCGCCACGTCTTCCCTGCTATGTATTTGAATGTCACATTCCTCCACTGTCAACTCAGTGTTTTGCACCACTGCAGGTTCATCCTCCACCTCTACAGGCGGTGACAAAGTCCTCAATACCTCCACAAGCTCTTCCTCAATCGCCTTTATCTCCTCCTGCACACACACTTCTGTACTCGGCCCCTTCAAAACATCGGTTTCTTGTGGGACACAGCTTGCCTCACACACGCCAGGCTTCTCGTGGGACTCCATCTCACTCCACAATCGCCCACACTGGTGCTTGTGCGTGGGGCTCGTAGCAACAGTGTCCACATTGGTAACAGGTGCTGCACTAGTTTGTGCAGGCACCCGCTGCTGCTTCACACACACAGCCACCAAATGATCGTATGCTCCACATAACCTGCACGTACGTCTCTGTCCAGCGTATGTTACAAAAACCTGTGTTCTAAAGTCCTCCAGTACGACATAAGACGGCATGGAATGTCGTGGGTTATCTTCAGGGTAAATGTTCCCTCTAGACTGCCCATATAAGCACCTGCTGCCCACTTGCCTTGCTGTGCCAGATGTACGGCTCCATACGCCTCAAAAACACGTCGTATGTCAGCCTCATCTGCCTCGAATGGTACATTAGGGAGCTTGACCCACGTGAAGTGACGGAATACGTCAATCAAACGCACCTTCACAGCTGGAGTAGCATCAAGACTCACGTCTTGAAATCTATGCACCAATGACTCGTACACAGATGTGGAATTCAGTTTAACGAAGATCCTGTATGCACCATTCAGGGCAACACCATAAACTTCATCGTCCTGGATCCCATACGTCTCCCTGATGATGGTCGGGAGTAACACCTACGCTGAAGTGGGTGAAATTGCCCCACGAAGCAGTTCTATGCCGATGGTATTTACTAGGTAGCTCGCCTGAAAACAGCAGAGGGGTGCAGAGCACAACCGCACTCAACCGTGGTCAGGCAGCGAATGAAAAATAGTGGAACGCTTCACGATTTTGCGTGTCATCCTTGCGCAGGGGCCATGCTAATCTCTGTATCATTCCAATTTTAGTATATGTACTGCCGAAGCAAGTACAAAATATAACAGTAAAGTAAAAGGACCCCAATGGAAATACCCCACTCTGACTTTTTTAGGTTATCCCAGGTACTTTACACATATGCTGCTATGTATGATAATCTATGTAACTCTATTTGTCTATACCTGAATAAACTTACTTACTAATTATTTCAGAACAGCAATACCACAGCAGAAAGGAAGACTTGAAGAATGTCTGTGTTTACACCGAAACTTAAACAACCACTCAATCAACTACAAAGACGCAAGATTCATTGCCAGGGAAGAAGACACTTAGAGACACAAGATCTTAGAATCATCTTTTTTCTTTATATCCAACAATTTCAACCCCAACAACGACTTTTACAACATAGCTCAACCCCTTGTCAGTAACTTCATCATTATCCTAAACAGCAACAAACCTACTTGCCCATTCTAGCCCATAATAGCTAAATTCAAATCCAAATACCTACAAAAACCTCTCACAGTGATAAACATCTACAGAGTTCCACAATCAAACATTAGCCAATTTAGTCAAAACCTAGGAAGTATGATAACTGATGCACGCGTGAACAAAGATCACTTACTACTCTCAGGTGACTTCAATATAAATCTCCTGCAAGACCAGGACCCACACGTTACTGAATTCACAAACACAAAGAGTAACTGCATGTTGCTACCAACAGTAACAAAACCTACAAGAGTTACGGAGACTAGTGTTTCCCTACTTGACCACATCTGGACCAACACCATATCCCCTTTAAAATCAGGCATAATTAAAAATAATACCACAGACCACTACCCTACTTTCCTCATAACAACTCTTGGTAAAATACCCCAAGACACTACTAAAGTCACCTTCAGACTTCACAATGAGGCACCCATTAATAACTTCACAACAGCATAACAAACATTGACTGGCACACTGAGCTAGAAATCTATACAGATATTGACGAATGTTTTAATAATTTTCTAAAAAAAAACCCAATACCTCTATAAAACAAGCCTGCCCTAAAAAAACTAAACAGATGACAGCTAAGGACTGAACAGTCCCTGGCTAACACCCCGCATTCTCAAATCCATAAATACAAAAACACCAATAAAGAAAAACAGTACAGAATGGGTCACATAAACCCGAGACCAAACAAAACGTTACTCGTTTAATCCTAACCAGCCTGATAAGAAGGGCAAAAAAAAATTGTATTATGAGAACAGATTATCCAACTTACGAGGTGATATAAAAAAGACCTGGAAGACCCTATCAGAAATTCTGGGAACAAAAAAGATATCACGAAATAGCGAAATAAAATTAGCAAAATCAGATGAACCCCAACTCCCACCAAAAAGAAACAGCAAACAGACTCAATGATTTCTTCTCCACTATAGGACAAAACCTTGCCAATAAAATCCCAAGCTCAGATACCCACCAAATGACTACCTCACTGGCAACTACCGAACACACTGTTCCTAGCTCCGACTAACCATACGAAGTCTCCCTTACTATCAACGCACTAAAAAACAAGGCAGGAGATTTAAATACCTTACCACCCTTTATATACAAAAAAGCGTCACAAGTACTATCACCAATCATTGCAACACTCTTTAACAAATCCACTGAATCCTCCACCTTCCCTACAGCTCTCAAAATAGCAAGGGTCACCCCGATCCATAAAGGAGGAGACCAAACAGAGTTGAATAACTATAGGCCAATATCCAATTTACACCCTCTCTCAAAATCTTCGAAAAATTAATTCAAAACGAATCTACTCCTACCTCATCTCCCAAAACATTCTCACCCCTGCCAATTTGGATTCAGGCCTAATAAAAATACTAATGATGCTATTATACACATGCTAGAACATTTATACACTGCAATAGAGAAAAAAGAAGTCCCACTGGGGATCTTCATTGACTTACGTAAAGCTTTTGATACAGTTGACCATGACTTGCTCCACGTAAAATTGTCACACTATGGTATTAGAGGGCACTCCCTCAACTACCTCAAGTCATACCTCAGCAACAGAAGCCAATATGTGTACGCAAATGGGGCAAGCTCTTCCGCTCAACCAATTACAGTTGGTGTCCCACAGGGAAGTGTCCTTGGCCCTCTTCTCTTTCTCCTATACATAAATGACCTACCAAATGCTTCGCAATTACTCAAACCCACACTTTTTGCAGATGACACTACATACGTCTTCTCTCACCTGAGCCCAGTCACGCTAGCCAATACTGTAAACACCGAATTACAGAAAATATCTACCTGGATGAGGACTAACAAACTTACATTAAACATTGACAAAACCTACTTCATTCAGTTTGGAACAGAGCTACAGATGTACCTCTTAACATAACGATAAACAGATCACCTATCACAAAGCTAACAGAGGGAAAATTCTTAGGAATCCACCTTGATAATGGACTCAAATTTCATACACATATACAACAAATTTCTAAGAAAATTTCCAAGACCGTAGGCATACTATCGAAGATATGGTACTATGTTCACACAGTCAGCCCCTCCTGGCCCTTTATCACTCTCTTATTTACCCCTATCTCACCTATGGAATTTGTGCATGGGGCTCAACAACAATTAACCATCTCAGACCACTAATTACCCAACAAAAGGCTGCAGTTAGAATGATAACAAATTCTCACTACAGGCAGCACACTCCACCAAATATCAAAACACTCAACCTACTCACCAAACAAAACATCCATACTTATTACTGCACCTATTACATACATAGAACACTTAACTCTGATATTAACCCTCCCCTCAAACATCTCCTTGCCAACCTCAACAGAACACATGACCGTAACACAAGGCACAGATCACTCTTTGATGTTCCTCGTGTCCATCTAACGCTATGCAAAAACTCAATGCACATAAAAGGCCCTAAAATCTGGAATTCATTACCTGTTAATATAAAAGAAACACTACCTGTTTATAAATTCAAGTCTCTTCTCAAAGATCACTTACTCACTCAAAACCAAATAAATACTGAATAACTGAACCTTATAGATTGTATATCCTAAATGTTACTCACAGTTATATCACACAAATGTTAAACCTAGGACCCAATCTAACTTTATTTTTTTTAAATTCACTACCAAACAGAATACTCCATTCGACTGAATGTACAGCAAGCATGCAACCATAGGGACCTGTCTTTGTAATACTCATTTGTGATTTATAGTTATCTGTTTACAATAATGTTTTATCACTGATTTCATCATTGCTTAGTAAATCTTAAGTTAATTTTAAGCCAGCCCGTAATGCTATGCATATAAGTGGCTTTGGCATGCTGCTCTTACCTGTATTTTTTTGTACCTCTGTATGTATGCTAAAATTACTAAATAAATAAATAAAAGAATATAACCAAGTAGCCTCTACTCAGGTAGATCTTTTTGTTACTAGATAACACTCACTGTGTGCCAGAAATATTCTCAATAAAACACTGAATTATTATGTGTTTGTGTCTATTTTAAACTATTTATCTTCATCGGGAAGTTGAGCTGGATAAAGCGTAACTGAGAGTCACCCTTAACAACCCAACAACAACAACAACAAGTTGGAACTGGACAGGTATTAGACGGAGTGTTGGATAGGTATTAGACGGAGTGTTGGACAGGTATTAGGCGGACAGTTGGACAGGCATTTGGCGGACTGTTGGACAGGTGTTAGACGGAGTGTTGGACAGGTATTAGACGGTGTTGGACAGGTATTAGAGGGACACTTGAGAGTGACTTGAGGTGTAAGTAAGTTTTGTTCTCTCAGGTTTTTAAGATTTAAGTCTGGTTTTATTTACTATTTTATAACTGTTATTGAATTTGTGTTATAATAGCACTTAACAGTTGTGTCTTCCTAGTAAGTTTTTATTCAGGTACACATATATACACTTACATTATCATACATAACAACATATGTGTACATTACCCAGGATAACACATAACACTCACTGACTTATTTACATAAGAAAGGAGGAACACTGCAGTAGGTCTGTTGGCCCATACTGGGCAGGTCCTTCACAACCCAGTAACTGACCAAAGTCAGTCAGAATGGAGCACTTCAGAGGGATGGAGCACTTCAGAGGGATGGAGCACTTCAAAGGGATGGAGCACTTCAGAGGGATGGAACACTTCAGAGGGATGGAGCACTTCAGAGAGATGGAGCACTTCAGAGAGATGGAGCACTTCAGAGAGATGGAGCACTTCAGAGAGATGGAGCACTTCAGAGAGATGGAGCACTTCAGATGGATGGAGCACTGCATAGGAATAGTAAGATTCATCCTGGACCTTGGACCAAGGGAACATGTAGGCCAGAATGAATTACAACAGTTGGATATGCTGAATGTTGAAGACAGAGTAAAACAACTGAAGCTAAATCATGTTTATAAAATTGCTCACAGTGTCCAGAATATCTTGCTGTCAGTTTTGTCAAGGTTGGGAACCGCAGCAATCATAGTACTAGGGGGAGAGAACACAACTTTGTAGTACCCACAGTCAGTGGCCAGGCTTCAAACACCTTTTATTGTACAGCAATAAAGGAATGGAACAGACTGCCTGCACATGTCATAAACCAGTTCAAGAAGAATGCCGAAAGGTGTCTGATGAATGTAGCTACAGAAAGGGAGGGGAATGATTTTCTATTTTTTAGCTAACATATGTGTAAATTTTACCTTATTCCTAGTAATGACCCTCGTATTGTAGATAGTTTTAATGACCCTCGTGTAGTAGATAGTCTTTTTAGTATGATAAGATGTTATCTCCATTATAGAATAATAAGATATTATGACCTTTATATTATAATGATAAGGTAAAAGGACCCCAATCAATCAAAGAGGCCCAATGGATATTCATTGTTCTCAATCACTGCATTATGATGTCTTGCATTTTTATAATTGCATGGTTTGTGCTTTTACTTGGTTTGAATCCAAATTGGCAAGGGTTGAGTATGTTGCATGATGATAGTAAAGAGTATAATTACTTGTGGATTAATTTTTCGAAGATTTTGAATAACAATAGCAGGTTAGATGTAGGTTTGTAATTATTTATGTTGGGTGGGTCTCCTCCTTTGTGTATTGAGGTAACCCATGTTTTAAGTATTACTGGGATTGTGTTAGTTTCTGATGGTTTGTTGACCACTGTTGCAATGGTGGATGAAAGCACATTAGCTGTTATTTTGATCATTAGTGGTGGTATTTGTGCTAAGATTCCTTTTTTATTTTTCAGTGAGTTTATTATCAAAGATACCTCAGATGGATCAGCTGGAATAAGGTAGAGGGAGTTCAGAAAACTTCCAACAAGGTAATCACTTGCTCGAAGACTGGTAGAGAAGAAATCATCTAATATATTGGCTGTTTCAGTAGGTTAGATATATGTTTGGTTTATTGGTTTGGTTAGGCCAGTATCTCTGGTTTTGGTGTTTTTTCTAGAACAGAGGATTTGTGGAAGTGTGTTCTAGGTGTTCTTCACATCACTTCTCATTTCATTAACCTTCTAGCACAATAGAGCTGTTTAGACTTCCTTATTAGTTTGGTAATACTGATGCATAGTGTTTGGTTTGTTCTTTAGTTATTAAGCCCAATTCATACTGTTTTTCATAGTTATATTTTTATGAATGGACTTGAGGATACTATTTATTACCCAGGGGTTACCCAGTCTTTACTCTGATTTGCTTAATTTTAGTAGGGTAAGGTCTACTGTAAAGACTTTGTATTATTTTTTGTAGAAGAATCACCAGTGCTCCTGTCACCAGTAATGTATGTGTGTGCCAGTTAATGTAACTTACTGCTGCAGTGAAGTTATTAATGATGTCTCATCATGGAAACAAAATGAGATCATATTAGTTTCAAGTGGTAGCTTATATATGTTGGTTATGGGGAAGGTGGGGTAGTGATTAGTAGCAGTGTCTGTGATTATCCCTGCTTTGAGAGGAGCTATTGTGTTAGTCCAGATATGGTCAGTTGAGGTTACACTGCTCTTGTTGTTTCTTGTTGGTTTAGTTATTGCTGGTTATAGTTTGTTTAGTTATAGCTGTTACTTGAGAGTCCTTGGCTAGAACAAGGTTAAAGTTGAAATACTGATCACAATGGGGTGATCACAATGCTATGCTCTGTTTTTGAGAGAATACTAAATTGAAAGAGAAGAAATTGAACCTTTCACATAACAACTAGTTGTGTGAAGTTCTGGGATAGAAGAGGATGGTCCATGTGTGACAAAATATTAGTCTCGAGAAATTGCACAGTCTGTTCTATGGGGATGTGAGTGATCAGAGTGATCTTATTTCTTGTTCATGCTAATACAAACAAGTCTGGACAACAGTTTCCTTGGGTTCTTGAGTAGTGAAATTCTTACAGTTTTTAATAGTTTTGTTAAGTATCCAGTAAGTTTTCCCTGCTAGTTTGTATGGTGCACTTCCTATTGTAGATGTGATGGGATAGAGAAGAATGATTCACTTTTATTACTGTAGGAAGATCTTAAATGAGTACAAGGTGAGGATTAGAGGGCAGTTGGCAACAGATTACAAGGTGAGGATTAGAGGGAAGTTGGCAACAGAGTACAAGGTGAGACTCATGGAATAGCAATGACACAATTGCAAAGAAACCATACCATGGGCGGGTTAAGAACCCATGATCAGAGAGTCATAGAACTCCACACCAATGCATTAGCCACTGGACCAGCAAGTGACAATAAGAGTCATCCAACTAGGTATATTTATACACCATAGGAAGGTTAGCATAGGCACCACTGTGACTACAAATGCAAGTTTTTACAGACAAATCTCCAGCTAGTATGGTGCAGGTTCTAAACCTGCCTCTGGTATGGTATGTTTGCAATCGTGTCATTATGATTTCATGAGTCATGTTGACAAAAATATTCTATTTTTGTCAATTTTCCTGAGGACTGGTAAGGTCTCCCTAACCCCCTGCTCTGTTTTATGGGTTTTTAATAGTTCTGATTCAATTATTGGGATGCCATAACCCATGACCAATAATTCCTGGTTATATTTTGTTATCCAAGAAATAGAGTAAATCTTTATTTTTTGTGTGATTATGAATTTAACATGGAAAGCAAGTTTAATAAAGAATGGTGCTGGGAATGTGAATAATGAACAGGGAAAATTTTGTTTTAGTGCCAAGAATATCTACATTGAATATTTTGGACTGTGTTTATAAATTGTCATTTTTTATTTTTGTGTAAACTTGGCCAAATTACCGATTTCTGTGCACTTTATAGTGTAGGTGTAATAGTTGAATGGCAGTTCTTTGTGCTCAAACACTGACTTTTTAGGGTCATCCCAGGTTCCCTACCCATATGCTGCTATGTATGATAATCTATGTAACTACAGTGGACCCCCGGTTTGCGATATTAATCTTTTCCTGAGAGCTCATCGTAAGTCAAAATTATCGGAAAGCAAATAAATTTTCCCCATAAGAAATAATTGAAATCAAATTAATCCGTGCAAGACACCCAAAAGTATGAAAAAAAAACTTTTACCACATGAAATATTAAGTTTAATGCAATAGAATAATTACAATAACAACAATAACAATAGAATAATTACAATAGAATAATTGACACTTACCTTTAATGAAGATCTGGTGATGATTGATGGGCTGGGAGGAGGGGAGAGTGTTGAACCTATTGTTTAGAAGGGGAATCCCCCTCTATTAGAACTTGAGGTAGCTTTTTCCTCCTGAGTAATGTAGGTCCTGCTTGGCAATTTCTTCAAAAACAGGCCTGTTTCGTCACAATTAAACACTTGTTCAGGTTTCAATCCTTCAGCCTCTATGTACTCCTTAAATTCATGCACATATTTTTCAGCCGCTTTGTGGTCTGAACTGGCAGCCTCACCATGCCTAATCACACTATGTATGCTACTACGAGGTAGTGAGGCAGACAATAACAAACTGATGCTGGTAGTCACTGGTGTGAGTAGTGAAGCAGACAGTAACAAACTGATGGTGGTAGTCACTGGTGTGAGTAGTGAGGCAGACAATAACAAACTGATGCTGGTAGTCACTGGTGTGAGTAGTGAAGCAGACAATAACAAACTGATGGTGGTAGTCACTGGTGTGAGTAGTGAAGCAGACAGTAACAAACTGATGGTGGTAGTCACTGGTGTGAGTAGTGAGGCAGACAATAACAAACTGATGCTGGTAGCCACTGGTTTGTTCATAAGAACAATGAAAATGTACATGTCCAGGATGAACTTCCCACCAGACAAACTTGTTATTAACAAGAGTTGGTTTATTTTATCAAATCCACGACTGGACTGGATAGCTGTTTGATAGTGCATTTGGTCCACTTCATGGTTATTTTAACCAGACATCCCAATAAATGTTGAGCCTTTGTCCGGCCAAATTTTTTTTACCTTTTTTTAGCAAACATCTGCTTTATGGAGGTCCATTTTATAACATTTACTGAACTAGTCATTGCTCACATTAATGTTTGGAGGCAAAGGAGGCCTACTGGACATCAATGTTTGGAGGCCTACTGGACTTTCCATGCTGTAATGTATGAGCCATTATTTCTACCTTTACTTGATACATTTCCCTCATCCCTACTATCTGTATGACCATGTTCTTGATATTCTACCTTCACCTGATACATTTCCCTCATCCCTACTATCTGTATGACCATGTTCTTGATATTCTACCTTCACCTGATACATTTCCCTCATCCCTACTATCTGTATGACCATGTTCTTGATATTCTACCTTCACCTGATACATTTCTCTCATTCCCACTA